CTTTTCTCTACAAGTGTAGTATAGAAAGGAGTTTAACAAGGAAATCAAGAAATTACTTCATCAACAAGAGAAGAAGTAGATTTTTAAGAAAGAGAACTAGATAAGAAAGTTGATAGGAAAAAATTAGAAAAATAAAATAAAATAAAAAATAAAATAAAAAGATCACATAATCAAGGACAAGAATTTCAAGACAAGTACTTCTTCAATAGAATCTATTGAGTTTCAAGTTAGTTCCAGCTAATCTAGATTGTGGGATTGAGAAAAAAGGAATATAAAAGAAGAAAGGCAGTAAAAAGATTGAGATTTAGATAAGTCTCTTAGCTAAGTCATGATCACTTAGTGAAGATAAAAAAGAAGTTCTAAAGTAGAATGAATCATTATGTCTTAATTTATTTGCAATGAATAGACTTATAAAAATAAATAAAATTAATAATATACTAAGAAAAAAAGACTTTGGATGTATTAAAGATATTTATGATAATAAATTAATATTTGATTACTTAAAAATAAAATAAAACTTCTAAAATAAGAAATAATATTTTACAACAATCCAAAATTTTAAGTGGGAAGAAACTAATTTACTCATAAAAATACTAAATAGAAATAAATATATATTACTAAGATCATAAGAATATAAGAAGTTGGTACTTAACATCTAATAAGAATTAAAATATTTAATAATAAAAAAAATACGATTTTTTACAAAATGAGTATTAGTGGATTAATATTTTTTTTAAATCACAAAAAAAATTCTAGATGTTAATTCTATGATAGACTTTATGCTTTATTTTATACACCAATATTAATTTTATAATATTTATCTATTATAAGCTTAGAATATTGATAGAATTTAGATTGTGTAAGGCCTTTGTCTATCAATAAGAGCTATAACAAGTATATCTTAGTAATAATTGAACACTTTTCTTAGCACATAGAATTGGTGACATTACTTCACAAGTTTAATAAAATAGTAGCTTATGCTTGTTTCAATTAGATTCTTAATTTTTTTTTGGATCATCAAATAAAATCTTTACTTACTAGGACAATAAATTCTTATGAGAATTTTAATTTTTATTGGAACATGTATTTATTTATTATAGGAAAAACATCTTAGAATCATCTTGAAGTAGATGGTTTGGCAAAACACATGTTATAGATTATAAAGAGGGCTTTTAAGAAATATGATCTACAAAACTCAATTTCAAATTTGCATAGGATTTAGCAAGAAACAAATATTTGCACTATGATCATATATATTTCTAGAAAATTTTACTATCTATATCAGATGTATATGCAAGCATAATTTATATAGGTTTGAAACAGCATAATGAATTATGTACATAATATATTAATACATGACATATATATCCAATTAAAAATTCTAAAATTTAACACTTAAAAAGATTCATATTTAGTAATATCATATTATATCTAAATAAAAATATAAAATAGAAAAATATTTAAAACTTCTTAAATATAATATCAACCAAACAAAATTTGTAACATAGCAATCATTGTCATTTAATCAAATCATCTTACTAAATGATAATTTTTTTGATTAATACTTTCTAAATTAATAATATATATATATTATTAAAAAATTCAAATTTTAGAAGAAAATATAATAATAGAAAAGAAATTGGATTTTTTTTTAGATAATATGTTCATCTAAATTTTTACTAAAAATAATTTTATTGATTGATTCATACAAATATAGTGACTTAAAATAAAATATTAGAAGAATAAAATTACAAAGTAATTTTAATACATAGAAATAAAAAGAATCTAAAAAAGAAATTTAAATACCAACTTCATTTCTAATTTTAAAAATCCATGATTCTTCTTAAGAGCTAAAAAAGAAACCATACTTTTTTGGTTTACATGATATTATAATATTTTAATAAACATATATAAAGAAATAGAAAACAATGATACATTAAAACTATGAAAAATATGAAAATTATACTATCTAAAGTAATAAGAGACAAGCTTTTATAGATTTTGGAATCATATGTAAGCCAAATTTATTTTGGAACCTAGATAGTTTTTTATGTTTAAAATATTAAAAAAATCCCTCAAAAGGACAACTCGTAGAATGTTATTTTTTATAAAATAAATAAAATAAAATTATAAAAGACATTCTAAATTTATTTAAAAGATTAAAAAAAACAGTATTTTTCTTATAGAATATAAGTATAAGGAATATAGATCCAAAAAATTGCATTTAAAATAAAAGAATAAGTTGATATTCATATTAAAAAAATTAAATGATTTTAACTTGTTTATTATGGTAGAATAAATTTGAAAGCCATATACAAAAAACTAGACAAATAACTTAACAAAGACAAAGTAATTCTTTATAATTAGAATAGAACTTCAATAGTAAAAAAATTAATAGATTTATAAAGAAAAAAGACAATCAAATGACACTTAAGAATACCAAATGTTGATTTAATTATATATGCAATAGAAATAAATTAGACATGATTTTTTTTAAATACCATATTTTATTTTAATATACCAACATAATATAATACAAAACAAAAACTACCACTCAATCTATATTTATTTCAGGGAGAAATAATTAAGAAATGCATTGCAACCATGCAATTTGGAGGAATAGGTTTTTAGCTCATACTTTGCTCCATCCTTGCATGAATTCATTTGTCACTAATCTAAATACTACCAAGCCAGCTTCTTCTACACTATCCATAGTGAAGTTTTTTGGTATTATTAAGCTAGTCTCAAGTTTGATTCTAGTCATCACAATAGACAACAATTCATGATTTAAAAACATTTGCACCAGGTATTTGTCTTACTCCATGTCTCATTATTATTCTTACTTTTTCTCAATCCTCCCTCGGCTTTTTTCTAGGCCCCTTGCTTTTATTTCCCTCTATCTTCAACCACAGGTTACAAGTTTTACAAACTTGCAGGCAAGCACAAAAGTAGATCCATAAAAAAAAAATTGTTAAAATTACCTAATATCCATTCATAAATAAATAAATAAAATTACCATGATATTAGTTGAACACCTACTCCTTCCTAACTATAAATATCACCTTTTCCATTAATACATTGGTTTTTTCTCCAATTCCTTCAAGAAAAAAACAAACAAATAAGACATTCAACAAACCTATAATATTGAACATTTGTGTGTGTGGAGAGCCTATCTTGCAAGCTTCAACATAGACTTATGCTGACTTAAAATGTTTTTGCAACTATTGTTAACATTCCATGGCTATAAGGTAGGCAATTGTTTTTAATAACTTAATCATTTTAGCATATCTATCCTAAGTATATATATATATATATATATATATATATTTATATATATTCATGTGTAGAGAAATAAAAATTAAGAGGATTCTAGGTGTTTTCAAACTATTTTTTCCAATATATATATATATATATATATTAATGTTTTCGCTAAATATTCTCTTTGATCCAAATCCAACATATAAGCCAACCTAATTCTAATTAGTGGTTGGTTACAAAATCAAGAATGCTTGATTCCAACCATTTTTTTTGAATTGGCATGAAATTCTTAATTACTTATCCAATGGTGCAATAGATGTGAATTAAATAATGTGAAACCAGAAGGTGTCAAAACTAATTAGTATTATCATGTCAAATTGATAAGAAATACACCACCGTTAGGAAATGGGGGGTGGTCGAGAATGGGTCTGCTAAATTAGGCCACTAAAGAGAGTCCCTGGGAGGATGCAAAAACTGCACTGCTGTTACCATTTGGAGCTGGATTGAGACCATGACTCACTGCCGCCGTATATATCAGCTTCGAGCTCAATTTTCAAGACTCGTCAGTGGTTATGATTTCGGCGCTACTTTCACAATACTTCAAACCTCGCAGAATTTGAACTTTGAATTTTATTTTCCTTGTTTAGTAATGTTGTGTTTTTTTGTCGCCGTTGGTTAGTTACCTTGTACAGTAACGCGCTGATTGTGTATTAACTCATGCTAATGTTGTTCTTCCAATACCATTCAAATAAATAAATAAATAAATAAATAAATCCCTTCTGTTCCAACTCGATCTCGTCATCTGGTTCTACTTCGTCGTCATGGTCATTATCTTAATTACCTAGATCAGCGGCTCTTGGTTGAAACGTTGCCTTTCTTAGCGCAGCTTTTATCCACGCCGAGATCGATCAACATGTTTCATTTGCCGAGCAATTTGTCCGTTGATAAACCTGATTGCATTAGGGGACGAACAATCTCTTTATGAGGTCTTGGTGGAAACTCGAAAATCTGGAAGACTAGCCCATCCTGTACTTCCTTTAAATAAAAACCTATTAATGCCATTTGTTTCTGGTTGACTTTTAGCAAATCTATGATCTGAGCACACTATCCCTCGAAGAAAGAGAACCTGCAAGTTGAGAGAACATGGCCACGTACACATCATGTTATCCATCTTAATCCTGGTTGCGGCATCCAAGAAAGTTACCGACAATGGTGGACATCAAGGGGCCGAAATAAACCTTATAGGAGTTGATGGAAATATTCCAGACGGTGCCAATTCCAGACTTCCGCCGATAAGACTTTGTGGCAGAACACTGTAGGCATCGGAGTTTCAGAAAATATATGATTAATGTTAAACATCTAAGTCAAATACACCGCGGATGTTTTGGAGTTCGAAGCATGAAAATCACAGATTATGGGGCATGAACACTCATCGGTGAATGTTCCAACAAGAGACTGCAGCTGAAAATCCTCTTTATAGACAACTATCAGTACATGAACGAAAGGAAGGAAACATGCTCTTCAACTCGACACTCCAATTCTTTCGAATACAAGTTCGGATGTATGTTACTGCACTGACAGGTCGAGTAAACGTAGAAGTCAGCAATTCACCACAAGGACGATGCCAAGATGGACTCTGCGGAGGTGCACCACTAAACTTCGCTTTGGAATTAAACTGTGGCAAATGCAACAAATTGACAAAAGAAAGAGAAAAAAAAAAAAAAAAAAAAAAAAAAAAAAAAAAAAAAAAACTACCTATCCATAATACATGCACCATTCCTGGCTACATGTAGCTCTCCGCATCCAAATGATGCGAGTCATGATACAAAGGCGTCCAGTAACACGAGCTTTGGCATGGCCTACGCTCCAGTGTGTGGCATACCTTACTATAAAAACCTGAATTGGCGTTAACATATTAACTACACGTCTCCTGCCACTGCCTTGGAACAGTACACGGAACAAAAGGAATCGTATGCCGTATGACGGCACCAGCAGCTCAATGCTTCACAAACAGGACCCACAAAATCCTAGCCAAGTACAACGCTAAGCCAGAATGCTGCCTCTGCGGTCGTGCAATCCTTTTGAGATTTCTAATCATGGATAATTAGGCAGTGGACTTGTGAGATCACCATCGTCGCCTGAGGAGTGTGTAGCTGCTCACCCTTGTCAAGAAGCAACATGGTGATGGTGAGCTTCACGTCTCCTAGGATTGTGCGAGACAGGCGCTTGATGTTCACTGTTGTTCCGTGAGCCAAGACTGGCCTGGCGTAACAACTTTTGAAACTCAGGCAGGCTAATTCTGCCGTCACCGTCGATGTCAGCTTCACCCAGAAAACTATCCATTGATCCCTTCAGTCCTGTGGCCTGTCAGAACATGCAGAATATTATAAGTGGATGTCCTAAAATTCTAGAGTTTGCACATTAGAGATTTCGTATGCAGAGATGGATTTAACTGTGAAACAGAACGAAGCTCAAAACCTGATTCGTTACATCCACACTTACAATTTTGAGCTCTTCCGTGGTAATGTAGCCATCGCCATCAAAATCGAATTTGCTGAATGCAGCCCTTGAGCGCTTCTGCCATTTCTCAGAGTCGGTTTCCTCCAATTGATGCACGTGCAAAGTCGCAGCAACAAATTCATTGAAATCAACGATTCCATCTCTATTACTATCCATCTGCACAGGAACACAGAAAGAGTTTAGGTCAAGGTGAAAGAGAACTAAGAGGCAACCTTCCTCTCACTTAAATGCCAAGAGACGCCTCAAAACTCGTGGCACGGACCTGTGTCAAGCTAATTCAACCGAAACTGCCTTAATGAGTTGGGAGCAAAAGCGCGCTTACCGCTTGCAGGATCTCTCCAACCCGAGACTCCTTGATAACCCAGGGCCGATCTTTTTGAAGAGCCTTTTCAGATAACGAATACATAAAAATTAGTTCAACATAACGAATAATCAGACACCAGCAAGGAAAAAAAACAGAATCGAAGTGAGCTCAGATACAACAGGCGTCACATCAAATAGAGTCCAGACTCACCTCTCTCATCTCCTCGAGGGTTATTGTGCCATTCCTGTCGATATCAATTGCATTAAATTGGTCCCGCAAATCAGCGATATCCGAGTCTTCGAGAGTACTAGCCAGAGCCTGCAGATAAAACCAAGGAGGCATGATGACAGTTAAGAATGGAATAATACGCAAGATGCGCTGTTTCGACAAACAACTGACCAAGATTTATTGCATAGATGTTGTGCATCCGTACCCTAAGGGCAAGTTGCTTCAGACGGCTGTACTTCACAAACTCGCGCATGTTGGACAACACCGAGATGTCCAAGGGAATGTCCAAGGCATCCCCTCCCTCCTTCGCCCACGGATGAGCTGCATACATGGAGGACATTAAAATCAACCAATATGTCTCTAATGCTGGAATGCACCTTCACAATCTCCTAACTCTCTAAATACCCAATTAAATAGAGAATTAGGAGATCGCCAAAGTCTACTAGTATCACGTGATTGGGACTGCTTCACTGAAGAGACAACACATTAGTTACTAAAAACTGTCTACTTACACAATGCTTGTGCTGCAGTGAGTCTTGCGGCCGCATCCTTCACCAGCAGCTTTTTCACGAAATCCTTGGCACTGAGACTAATTGTTGGCCATGGCTTCTCCCGAAAGTCTGGCTTCTTTTTCAACACCTGATAGAGAAAGAATTCTGCGTCAGGAATCTATTGGTAGTTTGACAAATGCACCAATCCTTTCTGTACCCTCGCAAGCTGAAACTGTCGCGAAGAAAAATCGGAATGCAAACCTCGTTGAAGATCCCCTGCTCAGTTTTGTCCCAGAAGGGTCGCCTCCCACACAGCAGAATATAGGTAATGACGCCAATACTCCACACATCTGATTCCGGACCTGATTTTCTCTTCAAAACTTCGGGAGCCACGTAATACGCACTTCCGACAACGTCTTGAAACCGTTTTCCTGGAAGAAGCAGCACGCCATGTGAGTGCAAGAAATGAAGTCGAGCAACTAACCCAGGTCTCCAGTCAGCCTTAACAGTGAAAAAAAAGAGTGCAGAACAGTTAAGCTAGAGGCAAGGGGATCATTACCTGGCTGTATATAATCCGACAGGCCAAAATCAGTGGCCTTAAGAGGCGAATCCTCCTTCGGTGACTTGAACAAGAAATTCTGAAAATAAAAAGGTAAACCTACTCAGACCATTAATCAACAACTCTGTATATAGAAAGTATAAGAAAAAAGAGCTTCAACGCACCTCATACTCTAGCTTTTTCACACAGAGAAAGACAACAACTAAGAAGAATGCTCACTTCAAGACTTGTTGCAATTGTGCTCTTAACCGTAGGCTACGATTCAATGACAACCAGAATAATTGGCATGGATACTTTGCCAACCAGGGTCTAGAAGAAAATCACCTCAGGCTTCATATCACGATGAACCACCCCGTTTAGATGACACCGAGCTGCGACATTCAGCATCTGCCTAACAATCTTTGCGGCGTCTTTCTCACTGTATCGACTATCCTTCCTGTGATATAGGAACCAGTATTTTTAACCTTCTGTATACTGTTCAATGAATATTGAAGTAGTGTACGATGATAGAGTACCAAATCTAATGCTGTAAGAAGAGCTAATGTTCTCTTGGTCGAAATAAAAACTTAGTATAGTATGGGATTCCAGAATATAAATTCAAACGGAGCTCAGAAGATGCGCATCCGACCCAAATAGGTCACTTACTTGGCAAGGATTCGATCGAGGAGCTCGCCTCCTTCGCATAATCTGAAGCGAAAAAGCACAGATTAGATAGAGAAACCGGTAAAAGCAAGCCGACTCCGGACGCAGAGGTCAACTTCAGGGACAGTTCAAGACCAAAACCCTAAACCCTACGAGAGTGGAATCGAAGTGGCATGCTGAGACGATCAACGATTTCGTTCTATAAGAGCCAAAATTGAGAATAACGTGAAAGGGTGGGAGAGAGATGATCGAGGCGTACTCCATGACAATGTACACCAGGTCGTCATCTTCAAACGAGGCATAGAATTGGACGACATTCTCGTGTCCAGAGAGAGTGCGAAGAATCTTGACCTCACGTTTCACGTCGTCTACCGAAATTTGAAGAGTCATCTGTCATGTAGATGACGAAAAATTAAACTGACGTGATTAAGATTCTCTCATACCAAAAGAGTGAATTCTTCTTCCAATCATTACAATTAGGGTGCCATCATGCAAAACGCGGTGGCAACGACCTCGACAATTACCTAGTTATGAAGACTATGATCAAAAGAGCAGACTCCGAGACCAGTGTGCACGGTCTGATTACCTGCTTCTTCTCTATGGTCTTCACAGCCACCTTTTCACCCGTAGCTTTCTCAAGGGCGACGTAGGTGTAGCCGAATTGGCCATGGCCAAGCAACTTGCCGAGCGTATACTTGCTTTTGAAATCTCTTTCGTAACCGAAATTGGTTCTCTTCCCTAATGGGATTGTCCCCTTGTTGTCTTTGACGTTGCTTCCAACTTTAACGTGAGGCTTTTTCCTAGGGTCAGCTCCAGGTTGTGTAGGTGGTCTCCTCGGCTCCGGGACCTTAGGCTCTGGAAGTTTATCAACATCCTTTGCTCGATGCTGGACGTGCATTACGACCGGCGGCTGTTCCCGACTCCGTTGGGTATGATTAGTAGTCCCATTCTGATGTGGGTGATGTTGGTAGTGATGCTGCTGCTGCTGCTGATGCCTGTGTGTGCTTGACCCTTGCTTCGAGCTCCCTTGAACCGAGGATTGATGCTTGCGAACAGGTATCGGCTCCTCTACCACCGAACTCTTCGTACAACAACTACCCATCTTACTCTACCGAATAACGACGGCCTATAAAGTTACAACTCTGTATCAACCTGGAATAAGAAGAACTCCAGCAACCCCGCTAGGCTACTGTACACGTAGCGGCGCCCATCCTGAGTTCCAAGACATACGCATTCAAATTCTGAACGTCTCAATTGAGCATCTCGATAAGCCCGGCATTCCACAACGCGCAAACCTCATGCCCGCTCATACACGATGATTCGAAATGTTTCCAACGCTCTATCCACGTACTTAGAGTATTTGACCTTTCTTGGGGCTCAACACGTTTGTGACGCTCTGGAACTGCGTCCTAACCCAAACAGCTACATAAGTCTACACCCGACTAGGAAGCAGCCAAACAGCACGATGGAGAAATAGGTCATGTTCTCCCAGGCCACAAACAGCGGATGCTAAACCCACATCGTGATGAGGACCGGGAGCGACATCCAAAACCAGACGAGTGCTCCGACCAACCCCTACACGGACCCTTTCAGTTTGCTAAAGGTACGCCTATTGCTAGTAACCTTCGAAAGTGATTCGAGGAACAATACAGACAACAACAACAACAACAACAACAATCAGATCTAGATAATAGATGGTCTAGCAGCAACTAGAACGGCTGCGCTACCCCGATCCTTGCGGCACTAAAAGCGGATCCCAATTATCCCGCCACATTGACAAAATTCTTATTTAACGTTCTCAGGGCCCAGGTCAAGTCTTCTTTAGCATCACTCCACATCGACAATTCGCCACCTAATGTCCGAACGGAACATCCACATGCCTTCCCCCACCCAATGGGAACACCTTCTCAAGACCTTCAGTGCAATCAGTGTCCAGATACGGCATGCAACGTCGACCACCACCGGAGCAAAACTCCTCTACATGAGCATACATTCAATCCATCATACGAAAACACTTCATCTCTTTCGGAAGATCCAAAACCCGCTTCCCCAAACACTCTGCGCTCCCCTGATCACTGACCCCTATCCTGGAGACGAAAACCTTTCGACAACATCGTCAACAACGGACACATTCAAGGTAGAGAGACCCGAGATCGGTTCCCATGTTTGTCGAATGCCCCGCAACTATCTCACTCGCTGCTGACAAACGCCTACACCGGCGTGATGATGCTGATGATGAAGGTGGGGATGATGATTACCGCCCACATATCTAGTTCTACGCGGGAGGAGTGGACTCTGCGAGCTACTTGGTTTCGCTTCTCACAAAAAAACAAAAAAAAAAAAAAAAAAAAAAAAACTCTCCTCCTCCAACGCCGCGCCTCGAATGTCCGCTCTTTTCCTCCTGTTTTCGCGATGCCTGTCAAGGATATAGCTCCGATTGGCCCCAACCTGCCTCGTTTCCATTTGCGGCTTGAAAAAAGTGACCCGATTCGTCGTGCAACGTCGCGCTGGGCCTGATCTGATCTTGAGCAAGTCTATCGATCGATCGATTGATCGATCGCAGGAGCGACGACGCGGTGACGGCGTGCGTGCATCCATGGCGACGCGTCTGGGTCACCCGGTGGCCAGGGGGTCTCATTCTGACCGGCATGTCACCCTGTGGTGATGTGGCTTTACTCATGAACTACTTTCCCACCATAACTTGTTTGTGCTTTCTAAACCTAAATTTGCATGCTTTGGATCTTATTGATATTCGAGATATGCCATTCTCTCACATGAGGAAAACCTCCCCAGTTTGTAACGCCAAGTAGTCGTTAAAAAAAAACTCTGGTTTCATCTTAAATTGGATGTGTTCTTCTAATTTTAAGTTACAGGATTGCATTGGGTGATACATATTTAGAATAAATCTCACTTGTTTTGGTTTACATTGATTTTGTTGTATTTGATTTCTTGACTTACATTATAATACGTGCAAATAAAACTGGTTTTTGTCGGGAAAACATTTATAAATTGTTGGATCGATATTGGTAGAAACATTTAGATGCTTTAACAAGAATAGATGCTCCTGGAAACAGTATCAATGTGGTGAAAGAATTTGAATTGTGTTAAACCGTAATAAAATGGTCTACGATTATGCCTAGTTTCATGGAAGTTAGCTAGTCAAACAATGTAACACCCAAACTTGACGTTGAGCTTTAGAACATGCAAATATGATGATATTCGCACATTCAGTAATGTTAATATATATACATATATAAACACTCACACACGCAAGTTGTGTAGAAGCAGAATTCTGAACCCTTGCGTCCAACATCAATATTCATATAAATTTAGAATTCATGACTCCAAGCACAGTTAAAAATCACGTTTTTGGAAGATGAATGCAAGTTGCTTTCACATCCTCTGCGAATTATCTGTTCCAACTCCAAATCCAGTAAAAAAACAGGTAATTTCAAGAAAGAATTGCGCTCTCCTCAAACAACATTCACGAGTTTCCACAAGTCTCCACAGACTTTCAACATTTAAGCAACAGGGAGCTGAGAATTTACGAAGCCATTTACACATCAACATGTACGGAATTGTTGATTCTGTTGCAATCTAACGCTAGGAAAACGGGAAAAGTGGGCGACCAATTGAAGAAGCGAATCTCAACGCCACCCTCGTGGATCAGAATCAAACCTGCGGACACAGATTTGAGCACCTACACACGAGGTTTATGTGGATACCTTGAGTCCTGGAGGAATTGTTACAGGCTTCTTTTTCCTCAGTTCGAGAAAAAACATTAGCCAATCTTTCAAATGCAAAATAGTCTGCGGATTGAGGTCAGAATTTCGAAGAATTGATATTTAGGAGCTTTGAAAAGAGAAGCTCGGTCTATTTTGACACTTTAGTTTACAGTTCGCAGTTTGCAGTGCGTCAAAACAAGAGCACTTGGTGGCTATGGGTTGTCGAGACAGCTTGGTCTATCTATTATGGACATGGACATGTACACAAACTGATAAAGTTTGTCGAATTTGAAGAGTATGAGGAGTGGATGTACATGAATTGATTCAAACCCCCTTCCGAAATGCTGCAACCACTCGGTCGGCGATCTCTTGGCCAAATAAGCGGGGCATATTGGAGCTCAGATCGACTTCCACTCCTTTGGTCTTGATCAGGTCGTCCCGATTCTTCATGTATGCCACGGCATCGCTGTCCATGGCTTGCCCTAAATTTTTGTAACTGTCCACCCAAGTTTGGAACACCTTCACGGCGGTGGGCTCAACCAGATCGGCGATGACTGAATCAATACCCCCTTCGACGCCCTCGCCACTAACCTTGTAAAGAAGGGCCGTCGGAGAGACAACGCTTCTCACGTAAAGTGCAGATGTAAGAAATGGTTGCGTCTGGGGGTGCTGCTCAAACGTTTGACGGAGAGCTTCGAGACCCGATTGCTCGTAATAACGAGCTAAATACTCGGGATTCAGAACAAGATCCTTTCTCGGAAGCAAATCCAATACGAGAACAAGATTGTCTGGACCACTTTGGATAAACTCAAAGAGAAGGTGTGGGGAGTCCGCCTCCGGACCCAGCATGGCTATCAAAGTCGCAATGTTCAAGGTCCCGAAGGCCAGCGTGCAATTCAGCCACGACCCCAACACAAAATCGATCTGCACACCAATTTCAGCAAAATCAAATCAGCAAATAACCAATCCACAACAAACCTCCAACCTAAAAATTACACGAACCGTCCGCCATGGCCTAAATGTTTCCACCACTAGCACAACACACTACCACACATTCGACCCTGCAGACTCAAATTGTGCAGATTCCCAATGAGATTCACCGCGATAATTTCTGACGAAGCTCAAGTACAGCAACCGAAACACACAAATTCAAGCACATGCAACAGAAGAAGAAGAAGAAGAAGAAGAAGAAGAAGAAGTAGAAAAATATTATATATATACTTTAGACCCAGCCCGGCCAGCTCGCAGAGTCACCGACCCCTCTCCATTGCCACCCTTAAACGATCTCACATCAGGATCAGTCTCCGAAGGGTTGATCAAATCCGCGAGATCCTTGTCCATCATACCCGCGACAGTCTCCATCAAATGCTTCCCAGCAGGACTCAATTTCGGAAACTCAACCCAGTTAGCCTCCTTGTGTCCCATAGCTACTTCTTCTTCTTCTGCACCCACACTACCTCTCACCACCACCACACTCCGTCTGCTCCAATTCACTCCCCGTATCCCCTTGTTCCGAAAAACAAAACCGGTATCCAGTTGCCCAGAACAACGCAAGCGATGGTGCAGCAGCGAAGGGGAGACGGCAACGCAAGCAGACGCAGCGAGCGGCACAAAAGAAGAAGAAACAGAAGTTGTAGCCATGGCTGTGATGTGATGCTACTGACTGCAACAACGTGGTTGTCTACAAAACCATTTGTCTAGATTTCGGTCCCTCTTGCTCTCTCACACGCAAAGGCCATCGCCATCGCCATCGCCATCTCCCAGTCAGGAATGTTGGAGTGCAACTGCGACTCTGGCATGATGTTTTTGGACGCATCTGTTGCAATCAAATTTATATCCTTTTACTGGATTTGTGATGCTTTGGGGTTATTTCTTCGGCTTGCTTCCACTGTTGGTTTGTTTCCAGTCTTCCCACGATGTTTTTCACCTGTCTTTCCTTTTTTATGACATGTCTTGCTTTCACTCTCCTTTTGAACAGTAACAAGTAAGAAAATAAATAAATAAATAAAATTAAATAAAAAAACAAACTTTCAGTTTGGTATTCACACTGCGCCTCCCAAATCTTGCATTTTGTTTTTACTCGATAGTCGACGAATAGATTGTGCTTCTGAACTAGTGTCGAGAAGTTAATGTGACCCTTTCATTGCATTGAGCCCATGTTTGGGATGTATGCACTTGGATAGCCCATTTTTTTTGTCTTTTTTTTTGTCTTTTTTTTTGTCTTTTTTTTTTTTTTTTAAATCACATTCATGGAAACTTGACATGTATAGGAATTCACAATAGCTAGAAATGTTTGCACAGCCGTTGTTCTCGGTGAATTCTATTTGGGGCCCCATAAAGTTTTGTGTATTTTACTCCTAAATAGGTTAATTGTTTTTGGGAAGTTCTGCAGATTTATTTAATTCGGTAGTTATATATTTAAATATATGTATGATTTTTATTACAAATTTTTATTGTTGGATATTGTCTCTCAATGTACTTCATATTTCAATGCTTTCACTTTGTCAGTTGCTGAAAGATTTCTATTGCCATGTGTTCTATTTGCATACATGATTATAATGTGTAAATAATTCCACACTTACACCTATTATCATGTGGAATAAATTTGTCAATATTTTATGCATATCATACCATTTATATTCCTTGCTAAAATAAGATATGTTGTATATTAATTTGTATACTGTAAGAGTGGTGTTTATGATTTTTTACAAACACAATGCATTCTTAATTGTTATACAAAGTAGATTTTGCTTCTTCTTGTATAAACATCATATTTGTGAGAAACATCTTCTGTGATTTTATTTATTTATTTATTTATTTTTTCTTCTTCTATAGTGCATTCACTTGTAGGAATGCACTATGCATCTATTGTTAATTGCAAGGTTGTTTCTTGGACTCCACAAGATGATCACAGCTTCATCATAAAGTATATAGTTTATTATAGGATTTTACTATATATATATATATATATATATATATATATATTTCAAACAATGACATTATTGCCTCCAAGATATAATTCAAACTTGAAAAATTCTCATTCAACTCTACATAATATTTATTTTAAATGAGTTAATCTAGCATATACTTTTTATAGTTGATATAATTTATTTAATTAATCAACCATGGAATTTATCAAAAATACATTTTAATTTTCTTATTAAGCATCGTATATATATATATATATGCACATCCCAAACATGGGCACTTGTTTTAGAAGTTTAATATTTTTTAAAAACTTTAGACATATTCTACATATACCTTCTATAACTTTCTATTCTAAACTAGAAGATTTATATATGTATATACATAATTTTTCTTAGTTATTGAAAGATTTTTCAAAAATATGTTTTTCTTCTAAATTTTGTTTTTGGCTTTTTTAGTTATTTAAAACCTACTTTGGTCTTTCAAAAGTATTATTAAATTCTTTATATTAAAGCAGAATAATGAGTATTCTATTTTTTCAACACAATCTTTTTTTTTAGCATTCTAAGTGTTTGTTTTTTGTTGATCTTTTTTTTTATATATCTTTAACTAGTTATTAAATAAGAATGTATTATAATTTTTATGGTTGTTTTTATTTATTTATTCAAAGTATCATGTTGTTTGGAAGTCATATCATGTCCAAAGGGCACATAACTAGATGATAACTCATATTTTACTTGAGCAATTTTTATCTATACAAATAATTATAAAAGATAAATTACACAAAGATAAACACATCAAATTTTGCATATGCATTTGTATTTGTGAAAAAATGGTTTGAAAACATATTTCAAAATTTATGAAATAAAATTTTTAGTAAATTCTATTTTTAACTATAAAATAATACATCTACATCTTTGTTGTCCTATGATATGATTTTGCAAGTTGACAATATAAGTAGAATTAAGACTTAAAAAAAAACCCTGGTAAATTTTAAAAAAGTCTATATATCTCAAAAAGTAATTAACATTGCTGAAAATTATTAAAAATATTTTATGTGCAATAGTATATACTGTCTTAGTTTTTGTAATTGAAAGAAAGAATATTTTTTATTTTCTTTTATATTTTTAGAATATAAAATAATGTTGTCTATAAAATAAAATTAAAAAAAAAAATCTAAAAATTCATACTATAAATCATATTTATTTTTAAAAAAAAATATCTAGGATATTTGTAAGTCTAAAAGAGATTATAGTGTCTTTAATATTTAGTCTTTGATTTCTTCATAAATTTAATATATATTAGATTATATATTCTATATGGATATATTCTAATATAAATTTCGGTTTTATTTTGTTATTGAAGAAGCTTCAATATCAAAGATAAAAAATTTTAAAAATTGATTGTTGATTTGTTGAATCTTTAATAATCTATACACATTTGTAAAGATTTATCTTTGATTATTTATTTAAAAAAAATGATATACTAATAAGAGATTTTGAATATTAAATAAAATTATTTATAAGATTATTGTTAAAAAAATTAATATTATATTTTTTTTCTTTACAATAAATTTTAATATGGTTCTAACTGGTTTTTTTATCTCATTCTTTAAGATAAATTTACGATTATAAAAAAAATTATAAAAAAAATATTGATATGTTTTTTTTTTAAATGCATCTTAATTTTTTTTATATTGTTTAGAGTGTTGTATAAACAAAGATTGTTATACATAAGACATCGAGTGCTACAAACCAATCACAAAATAAGCAATCTAAACCAAACACAAATACATAATCAACACACTCTCAAGGAAAGAAGAATAATCTAAATACCAATAAATCAAGCTATCTCTCACACCACAAAGGGGGAATTTGAGAGTGCAAGTGTGATTAGAAGAGAAACCAAAAAGCTTTACTAAATGACTAATCACCAAAGCCAAACAAAACCTTTACACCAAGCTTTTTTTCCTTTCAAAAACCACTCACAAGACTTGACTTCACAAGAATGTCAAGTCAAGGGATTTTTTTTCCTAAGTATTCCAACCCTAGTTGATGTTAACAAAGTCAACTAAGGAAAAAGATAAATAGATGGAAAACCACTAAACCAAACTAAATCACATACATGCAATAAGATTTGGTATCCAATGCCACATCACGTGACAAGAGATAATGCTACAAACTTTGTATAAATAAAATCTAAATAGTGTGTAAATATAAACTAAAATCTTCTTCTATTAAAACTTAAATAAATATCTTTATTCTTTAAATAAAATTTTGATTATATATATCTATATAAGTTTTTCTTTTCTTTTCTTTTCTTTTCTTAAAGTATTATTTCAAAAGTGGATCAAGAAGAAATTTAAGACTATAAGATATCTAATCTATTTGAGAAATATATATATATATATATATTTTTTAAAAATAGATTCAAAATAACAAGACAAATTATAAATTTTATAATTTTAATTACTATTAAAATTTAATAACTTTTGAAAACTATACTTGTTAATTGGAACTTATGAATGACATCTCCAAAAAGATAAAATCAAAATACTTATAACTTATATATGTAGATTTTTTCTAAATTTTATTAATAATATTCTTTAAATTTTAATAAATATTTTAACAAGAAATAAAAAAAGTTCTAAAATCTAACAAGATAAAGATAAAAAGTTTATTTTTTTTGAATTATAATTAAAATTGTACTAAAAATTAAGAAAAACTTATAAAAATGTAAAACTTTTACAAAAAATAATCTTTATAAGTTGCTACTGTGCAAGAGTCCCATCACATACTTTCTATTAGCTTTAGATTATATATATATATATATATATATATATATATTTTAATACATTGTATTCTTTTAGAACTATATTCTATATTTTGTGATTTTGCCTCTTCTTTAGACAATGTGTTTAATTTGTCTACAATATAAGTACTTCGAATTTCCTTTTACACAGTGAAAATTTTATCTTATACACTATCAATTTGCATATCTTTTATATTTAAATGATTTTTTTAATTAATAGAAAAATTCGTTGCATAAACATAAATTCTTTCGATGTGTAGCTATAAAAGAATTTGATCATGACTTCAAAAAGAAATTGTTGCATTTAATAGCAAAAGAAATTGTTTGTTGCTTAATATTTACAGATCACACAAGTTGAAGAACAATTTCTTTACATTGTGATATAACATGTAAAGAAATTGATCAATTAGTGTAAGATCATTATACTACCTTTAAAATCCTTCCAATATTTCTCTATACAATAAAATATATTTTTGAGCTTCTTCCATTGTATTTCTACCAAATAAATGATTTTATAATTTTTGCATAACTAAGTACTAAATAAAAATACTTTTCTATCAACATCTTACACATTAATCGACATGGATTACAACATGAATTAATTCTGCCTGATTACTTTCAAATTAATATTGAGGAATATAATTATATCATATCATCTATTATATTTTAATTCTTCATCAAAACACCACTTGAACAGAAACATAAGATTCCAAAATATTTATATTTGCAACTATATTTTGAAGTATTCAGTAGTCAAATATAACAAATGATAACAATCTGAAATCCAATAAAAACAAGTGGTGTACAGACCTTTTTATTAAGACCTTGTAAGACTTTAGAGTACCAAGCAATTAAGAAACTCCTTTGATATTGCCTAACATTACTAACTACTGGAATACTCCAAAAGTTTTGAACGTATTGAGAGCATTAAAAGTAGTCGGCACTCTCCATAATATTTACTATAGACTACAGCAAATACTATAGCTATATAGTATTTAGAGTCTAATGGAGAAGAATTATTTATCCTCTCCCCTTTCTCTTTTTGTATACGAGATACAACCAGATCAATAGATTTT